TGAAATAATGATAATTACTGGGTTATTATTATCGATAGGTAATCGCACCTGTTGCAGCCCACACACGAACGCGTATCATCACGCGATACCAATTTCAGTTCCCACGTCTTTCCCGATTAGAAATCGGTACGGGCAAAAATAGGAAACGCTCCACATTCCCATCGAGGACACGTTCCACTATATACGGGGTGGGTTCCATTATTACGAAGCATTACAAGGGATTCCCCTTTCGAAGTATCACACGGTGAAATAAAATTTTTATTCGTTACAAAGACTATTTAATGGAGACTGATATATTTTACAAAAATGTAAAGACTTCGTTCTTCAGTCCCACCTCCACGTAATTTCTTGCCATTTTTCTCCTTTCTGTATTCGTTCTACGGCTTTGTATAGTTCACTTTTATCGTTTCATAACGTCGTTACTGCAATTGAACGCGTCGCAGTTATGCAATTATCGGGCGGACAATTGACAAAATGGAAACCACCCCATTCAGCGGTGGTTGAACGTTTTATTTAGAAATGAAGTCTAATTGATTTTTAAAGGGGACGATCGTTATTCGCGCGAATTACTGCCACTTCCGAGCGTCGAAATTCGTTTTTCTGCATTTTTCACCCCGGAGAATTGCATGCCCCGGTGGTTTTTGTTGTCCCCGCCGATGGTTCTCAACCCTTTCTGTTAGAACACTCGAAACTTAGAATAGAGAAATCACGTGTTGAAGTCAATTAATGTTTTTTGGATTTTTAATAATTATATTTGTATCATTGGACATAACCAAAAATTGTTAAGTAAAGGCCACGTAAATTAAATTTTCAACAAATATTATTAACAAGCATAATAGAACTGAAATGGTCGAGCGTCGAAGATTATCTTAGAGCATTCCCTGTGTAATCCCTTCAATTTTCGTTCTGCAATCGTGTCTTCCTATACGATCACATTCTCATTGTCCGCTCGAAATGTGATAAGAACGTGGATTACGCGGCCATAATCGCCATTGTAAATGCATCAACGGCGACTTTTAAAGAAGCTTCGCCCCGACTGAACTAACTGTAATGCAGAAGTAATTTAAATACAAAAAAATCACCATCCCCTCGACCTAGAAAACTTCAACACCAACCCTTTAAATCAGCGGTGCACAACGTTCACCCCTTTAATCCAGAGTTGAGACACCTTCGTCGAATTAATCGCTGCTGGAATACTCGAACAACTCTGGTGATTCTGCTTCATCGAACAAAATTCGAATATTCCATTAAATAAACATTTAAATGTACCAGCTTGAAATGACATTACCATCATTTTAAATTTAAATACATTGTTTTATTTGGTCCACTAAGGAAAACTATTGTGCACCTCTGACCTAAAGCCTAATGAATATTCCTGATCTCTTCTCGTTCCACCCTCTCCTCCTCCGACTCTTCTTCGAAGGATTAAATTGATCTTGGTTAATTCTTCTGCAAGAAGAAAATATTGTTGGTTGCTTTAGTCGAGTCAAGCTTTTCAATTTAAACGTAAAAAGTTTTAAAATCTTCAATGTATAGTCTTCAGAACGAAATCTCTACCAAACCTCCCTATTTGATTGCAAGAAGAGGGGTAATACTTCAACTCGACAAAATTAATTAAAAAAATAAGAAAAATCGGGTTTATTTTAATCAATAAACTTTATTCTATCGTCTTAAGTAGAATTACAAAAATATCAACAATATTTATGTGTCTAAAAACAAATTAAATTAATTAAATTCCGTTCGAAACAAAATGTTTTCTTTTGATTAATCCCCATATTGTTTCTTTCGGTTTTAAGAGCCCTGGAGAAGGATTAACAAATTCAATGACGATCGCGTTGAGATAGGGGCGGTGGGGGTGAAACGACGGGAAAAAGAGCGAGGCACGACCTTGCAGAACCGACCAACGATATTTCTGTCGATTCGTTTCGAACAGATGCGCACGCAGGAGCTGTCAGAAATAATTGCGCATTGTTGGCGCTGTCGGAGGAACATTGCCTGAAATTTGCATTCAGAGACGTTGGAAACATCCTTGAACAGAAAAGGACATCCTCCCTTCCTCCGTCAACCCCCACCACAGTCAGTTTTTTATTCGACCATCAGCTTAGGACTAGCAAAAGCTTTGTTAGGAATCCATCGAGCGAACAGAGAATTAAGGGAGGGGGAATCCCCGTGTAACAGGTTCAAGAAATCGATTTTTCGGAAATTTTACAGAATTTCAGAAATAACCTAGCAAAATTTGTATATTCTTCAATCGCAAATGATTTTTTTCTAGACAAATATTTAGTTTCATAGGTGTTGCAATATTTGTTTAAATATTTTCCTCTGTATTCCTGGCTGTTACTAAATATTGAAAAGGAATCTTACAATCTATATTTCCTCAAGGGATGATTTCACCCCCTAAGAATGTATAACAACGAATAATGGTTTCGTGTTACGTATGAATTATTTCTGTATATCGTTTCAAAACCGTGGAAATTTTAGGGTTCGCGAACGCCCCTCGCGAGATTAATCAGTAACAATAAAGTAGATTTGTTTTGGCTTGTACCGACCCTCGTGACAGCTATAAAATAAAAATAATATTCTACACTCTTTTGCATAAATGAATTTATCGAAGATCTGGTCATAAGGTCGTATAATAAACGTGATTTAAAGTTAATTAAAACCAGCAATATAATCTAGACTCGAAATACTAAATCAAGTCCATTTTAATTTCCTTCACGGTTATTTTTTTTTCTTGTATTATCTGCTGATTTTTCACTATTAAAGGTTGACCTCAATAGAAACATAATAAAGCTGGCCGAAACGTTGTCGTTGTAAATATTGAACTTTCTTCATTTGTTTGCTCTGAAAACCAAACTTTCAACAACCACCGAGAGCGAACGGAGGATCTTTTCATCAATTTTAAATTGATAAATGTATCCAGTAAAGTGTGTTTATAGTTTCGGAGTGTAGTATGAAATCGTATAGAGAGACACTCGAATATTTTCGAGTTTGGGAATTCCACCGCGACCTTCGTAGAACGTTGCTTTCAAGGCACGAATCTTTAAGAAAATCTTCTCCAACTCTCCAAACTAGGTAAAACCCTTAAAGCGTTAACAAAGGGTTGACCTTTAGGGCAGAGAACTGTGGCAGCGTTTCAAAACGTTTTGAAAGTACAGCATTGCCAGAGAAGTTGTAACGAAGTTATCCCCACAGCACTCTGAAATTACACCTACATGGATAGAGTAAATAGATAGAATACCGAGATAACGTAATACCACACCGGAGGAATATTAAACCGAAACGTACCAAGATTAGAACAGAAATTCCACCAGATCGCACTTTTTCTGAAACTAAAAAAAAGGGAACGAATTTAATAAAAACCGTGGTCAAGTAAATTACTGGAATATTTAGTAATTAAATTAATTCAATGATTACGAGACTGAATAGTAAATTTACTATTTTTTATATCAATTTGAAAATTACAAAGTAGAGAACTATTAAAATAGAAAAGTGTCTGTCCAGCGTAATTAAAATTGACGATAAAACTTAAGTGTATTCCCTTTGTAAATAAAACGATGCAACGTTAGAGAAACACAGAAGTAAAATAATGGTTAATTAAGAAAATACCGAGACGGAATAAGAAAACACGTAAAGAGGACAGAATTGAGATTGAAAAATAGCGTAGTCGAGGAGTACCGGGATAATAAAACATTGAAATAAAGGGATATCGGAATATGAAGCTGCGTAAATAGAAAAATACAAAATGGTTTCCCTTCTAACCTTTCAGGAGAATCATTCATAACGCACGAATTAATGGATGGTTACAGTGGCGCAGCTAGGAGGATGCAAGGGAGCAATTTCATCCCCTGGGCTACGAATATTCATATTTTCGTTATTAAAATTTTGTTGCACGTAATAAAATATGAATAAACCCCGGGCAAAAACGTTCCCTTCGTGTTTAATAGTTTATCATAAAATTTCGAAACGAAACCAAACACAAATTCGAGGTTAATTATTTTTTACATTCTTGAAATAGTTTTTGTTTTATAATCGATGTTGTTTCGAGGATGATGTCACGCTCAAACTGTTCCACCCTAATCGATCCCGGACAAATAAATTGGCGATGCTCGAGGACGGGAAATTGAATCGTTCGAATATTACAAAATAAAGAATATTGTCAATGGGTCAATGGGGAACCCTCTATCAGATCGTTTATGTGAATTTAATTTACAAAAATTTGTTTTGCAATTGGGGTGAAAATTCGTAATTCAAGCATTTATTACAGTAAATAATATATATGTTTTTTTGAAGATTCTATCAATTTTTGGGGGGGGTGACGATCGCCATTATTAATTTTCGAGTTTACCAATATGTATACTATTGATTAATGCTAGACGAAACAGTGTAAAACGCTTGGAAGGAAAACACTGATACCCGATAACATTGAATTTCATATGACGCAGCTTTGAAACTGCAACCTTGCAGGATATTTCGCATAAAGAGATGTTCGTGATCCTTTGGAGTTGCGTCGATTTTGCATAAAAATAGTAGCGATCGATAGTGCGAAGAATGCGATAGAAAAATTATACGAACCGTGACGGAAATTGTGTTAAAATTATAAAAAAGAAAAACGCGATATCAAAACCTGCGAATTAAAAACGCAACTTACTCGACGACACAAATATACAAATAGATAAATACTACAAATAAAAAATTAAAATAAGAAAACAAATTGACAAAATATAAAACTGAGAATAGCAAATACTTGAAATAGAAAAATATAGAAAATAAGTCCACGCAGGAATAGATTAATTCAGAAATCCAAACCACAGGGGAAAAATATGAAAATAAAAATATATATAAAGGCGTGAGCACTATTTTAACAAAATAGTATAGTTAAATAATAAAATCACCTCCCAAGGAAGTAAGAAAACAGTGGAGTATCGAAATAGAAATATAATACGTGAAAGAAATATAACGCGTGTCTAAATATAACTTTGCCTTTTCCTTTTTTCCAGAGTGTCCGATCTCGGAAGACGGCCTGGAAAGGTTTGCGTGTCCCAACGCGGATAGAATGGGTAGATACCACTGCATCGAAGATCACGCCTTGTGCGACGGTTTCATAGACTGCCCTACAGGCGAGGACGAGGACAGGCAAGCCTGCATGTTTTACAAAACTGTAAGTCTTTAATCAGCGAATATCGTGGCACATTTTACAGGTATACAAATGACACAATCAACGGTGTGATTCTGCATCCTATAATCTGCTACAATTTTTACAGACCACACATACCACCCGTCCTATTTTCGTATTCCTCGTCCTCGTGATTTCGAGGAACAGAACTGCTTTGAACAGGAACGTTGTAATATTACATTAATCCACACATTGTCCTTTTCTAATTTAAAAAGAGCGCCAGAATCCATATATTCGCGCTCTGTAATCTGCTTACATAATCTGTCTTTCGATTAAGATCGGCGCCTAATTCAAAATGCAAACTATTTTAATCTATTTTCACAGTCTGTTTAGCCATTTACCCAGCCAATTTCGATTATGTAAAAGCATTCCAGGAATAATCTTCTCCTGAAACTTACCCTATTCCTTTGTTTTTCGCCCCCCACACCACTCGGGGAACTTCCCAAAGCCGCAGAGAAGAAATCTGACCCCGAAAATCTCAATTCATACGCTCGCCGGAGTGTCTGGCCTCGGCTTAAATCTCTAAAAAAAAAAGCCTCGTCTCCTTAATTTTTCTCTCCCGAAGGAAAACCTTTTCCATCGCGTGAAAATGGCGCGACGGATGTAGGGGAGAACGACGGGGGAAAACAATTCCTTAGTCGATTTCCTCGAGAACCACTTAGAGCGAGACCTAACCTTTAGATTTGAGCTGAACGCCGAGCAGAGTCGCCTGAAGCCACGCTTCCACTTTCGAGATTCGTAGCATTGTTATAAATCTTTTCAGAAAATAAGATACTAATTATCAGAGAGAGACTTAATCATCAAACTTGAGCTGAGCACTGTGCGTGCAGAGTCACCTAAAGCCACACTCCCACTTACGAAAATCTCACGATCGATTAGATTTGTTTAAGAAAATGAGATACTAATTTTCAGGGTGAGACCTAACATTTAGACTCGAGTTGGGGCTGAAGAAAGTGACCTAAAGCCACGCTACCAAGTGGGATTGTGACTTTAGGTGACTCGGGTCAGCTCGGGTCAAATCGTACACACTCGTAACGAAACTGGCTTTGAGCGGCAACGCACGAGAAAATGCTGTTTTCTCTGTTTCAGACGAAAGCTCACCTTGACATATTGGCAGATGCCATTTTGCGATGGGCAAGAGGACGCTAATTCCTTTGTTGACGATGAACCTCTGACCTATGCATAAAATCATAAGTCTGACGAGTTTACTTCTTTATACATTCACCTATATATAAATACAACCTATAAATATAAATACAAATATAATATATGATATATTCCCGTGTATGTGTACGCGTACACACACACGCTCTCGTGTACTCGAACACATATCAAGGGTTTTCGTTTTATTGCTAGCGAGCATTTCTCTTGCAAGCGACGGGTGCAGCGAGACGAACGGAATGGGATGAATTTTTCTCCACGCTTCCGCGAGGAATACGGTCGCGCGAATTATATTTAAAAATTTTAGATGCATCGGGATTAATTTTCGAATTTCGAGTAAAAGGGATCTCTTAATACGATACAAATATTTTCAGAATTTTGGAATCCCAAATATTCGACACTTGAGAGTTATAAAAAGGAAATATCAAACATTCCTCAAGATCTGTAGGGCCCATTTAGAAACATATTTATTAAGGCCCCTAAATTAAAAATTAAAGATGATACAATTTTTGGTTTAAAAAAGTATTCGAAATATAAACGAAAGTTATTTAAAACAGGTTATCTTATCATACTTAGCGGGCCTACTTGGGCATCAGGCCCAATCGGGAGCAATCTTAAAATGAATTCACGAGTTCCATTCAGATTTTGTTAGTTTTTTGGTGAAAAAATTGTTGGATCAGGGCACTTGGAATAATTCCAAGTCGATCGAGTTCCTCGTGGAGGGCGGGTATTCCCCGGAACATCGAGATTTCGTTTCCCGTCTCCTCTCTGCGACAACAAGCTTGCAAGGGGAGGATTGGCTGATGAGAAGACGAACACCCTGCTCGCATTCTCCCCATTCTCCCGCATCGTCTATTTTGCAGAGAGTTTTCCCTTTCTCCCGCGTAACCGTAAATACTTAGAGGAGAAATAGATAGAGAAAAGAAAGTGAGAGATGTTCACGTTGAAACCAAACTCAGGGGAACATAAAGATGAATAGTCTCTCGAGCAACACTCGGCCCAGACAGAGGCCGATCCGTGCTCGATTCTCCGAAGGGTGCGGATTCTGATGTGAGCTCGCGCCAACGCGTTCCCGACGATATCGATATTCGAAAGACAAAAATCTTTTTCTGGCCGATGAATGGCGGCGTTCTTGCAGCTCGAAGTTGAGACGAGCGACGAACAATCGGCGCGATCGATTGATTCTGGACAGTTTGGTATTGTTACGCGGTCTGTTGTCCCGAAGGTAACTCGAAATGATTGTTGGAGGATCTTTGGGTGATCGTATATAAGCGTCCTGGTCCTTTGATGAACCCCTTTGGAACAGTTGCACAGCGTTCGTGGAATATTATGCTGTTTGGTAGTTGAACGTAGCAGAAGTTTGAGTGGATTTAGACTTTGTTTAACGTCGCCTGGCCTATTAACAAAATGGCAGTCGGTAAATGAAGAGCAATATGGTAGGTTAGCTAGTTCGGGACTATGCTCCAGGAACCTCTCAAGATCTGAGCCTACTCTTCTCAATGTTGTCATCAGAGTACAAACGATTTTGACTCAAGAATTTCAAACGCAAAATTGTCTGCTCAAGAGAGAGATAGGATACTCGTCCCTTTGCTCTGTGAAGCCTAACCCCAAAGATCAGAGTTCCCCCCCAAAGATCCGGAGGTCCTCCAGTACGAGAAAAGGAATTAACTCAAAAGTGTGACAATCAGTCAATTTTTTTATCAAAAGTAGACTTAGTGAACTTTGCTGTATGAGACCCATGAACGAGTTACCTTCTGTCTAAGGAAGAGGATCGAGATATCTGATCTGTGGACTGAGAAATAACAAACTTAAAATATAAGATATCGTTGCATAATCTTGAAAATCAAATTCGATTAAAATTCAATTGAAAAGAATCGAAGTTAAAGTCTTGGTAGACCTAAAACTCAACCGAAAGCTGGAGTCGAGGTCGCCATTGACCAGAGGAGGAGAAGAATCGAGATTTGTCTATGTCCATCTGACTGGGCCCAGCTCCACAGAAACGCGTTGGCCGGGCCTCCCCGTCACAGCAACCAGGTATCCTCACGTTAAAGTACAAATTAAGGGTGTCCGAGGTTTCAAGGGGGCGTTTTAGGGGGCGACACTGCTGCGACCTCAAACAATCGAGCGATTCCCGCGTGATACCCGTGTAAACTCACCTTCGACTTTATTTTCGTACGACACGAACGCTGCTACAGGCTTTTTCGAAGACTGAGAACGAGCCACTCGTTTTAATTGGCCCGGGGGGACCGACCGGCTGGCACCTTGAGGGCCAATCGGGCCCCAAAAGCGATCCAGCCGTCTGTTTCTTGGACTCTTCGTCGGCGATATCGAGCCAATCACGCTCAAAATGGAACCGTAATAGATCCAGTTTGCAAATTGGCCACTTAGGCGCGAAGACGACGAAGTCTCCAGGGCTCAGCCACCCCCATAGAAACGAAAATCGTGCGTATCGCGTGATCACAAGTGGGCTAAATCTCACCCCTTCTCTTGGTTATCGTTCCAAGATTCTCGCCTGCTGGATCGTTGCGTTCCTGATCCCTGTTCTTCACGGTTCTTTTTCCTCCTCGTTAAAGTAAATATTAGCTTAGCGGTAAATGTTTGACAGTGTCTCGGGCGACACCTCCCCTTTTTCTGCAAATTGTTCAGAACGAAGCGGAGAGGCGAAGTGTTTGCGTGCTTGAACCTCGCCGAACGAGAGGAAGATTTTCTATCTTTTACCCCTGACTCTCAGTTTTGGGGAACGTTGCAAATCTATCGTCCAGGTTCTATTGGCCCTAGACTACTCGTTTAATCTCCATATCTGTGGATGGTTTTATCGAACTTGTCCTTTTCATGTTCAGTGAACATGAATAAAATTTCGAAATCGAAAGTTCTGTGAGGATCTCGAGGGGCAAGGTGCAAGCACGGACGTCGACCCTCTCGATCGAGAAGTCTCGAACGCGAGACTTGCTGTACTGCCGTGTGTTTGCTTGTTTTAAATACGACGAATGAGAACGCATGCGGTCCCGAGAGTTGCGCAGTCTTTAGACTCGTTGGAGTTGCTCGTGTTTCGTCGAATAAGCTATAAGGTTCTACGATTAATAAAAAAAAAATAAATAAAACGACTCTATGGTTAACTATCGCTAGAATAAATATCGAGGTAATATGAAAATGAGAAAAAAATGAAAAAAAAAGAAATAAGATTGGCAGACACCGACGAGGCTCAACTACGCAATACGTGTAAGATGGCGACGATGAGAGGAAGAGACTCGCGAACGCGTCGAGCGAAAATCCCCTTATGCAAGGTCAATTCAGTATTACAGCGTCTAGACTATATACATTTATAAAGTTTTGTTTCACGGTCGCGACGAACGAGACCCGGAGGCGGGACGAGGGACTCGTTCGCGGATACGTGGACTACGCTAGCGTCGGTACTCGAGTCGAATAAGAAGAGGAAGATGGTCCTTAATGAAAAATAAATACGAATTCTTTGTTCATTTTTGTTTGTCCGGGTTAAATGTGGAGTGGACGTAGACATCAGATCACCACGTGATGGAATCCCTCATCACGTGACCAAATTCTATTGGTCCGTAATGACACGTGATCCTGACCACTGGTGTACCGCGGAGACGCATAGAACGTCGAAACACTAATACCAAAGCTTCCATTAAAATGTTATTGCGATCATCAGAGCCTTAAAAAATAACCAACAATATTACCATTGCACTGAAAATATTTATCAAGGTTATTTGACGCATTTTAGTATTGCAAATTGTAAACGAAGGGAAGGTGCATTGCATACGCTTAATGCAAATGTAAACGTAAACGAGGAAGGGTGAAATTAAAACATTCGTCGGTGGACAAACAAAAGTAATTCCCTGGAAAAGTGTGGCGTCGTCGCGATTACCGACGCGAGCGTATGTATATATACATGTATGCACTTTCGTTTGAAGCGACTCGTCAAGTGCCAGATTCGTTCGTAGACGCTTTTCAGTTTGCGTAGTTTGGCGTGATTCGTGAAAGAGGAGCACGTTAGTCGACGACTTTGTTTGATCGAATCATCTAAAAAAAAACAGGGTTGTACCCTTAACCCTCCGCGACCCATAATGTCGCTAGATCCTTTCGGTTCGTTTCTGATAGTTTTACGAACGTCCAGGTGGACAGAGTCGCGTCGTTAGCCGAGATTCAGTTTCGCAGCTTCCCAATAGAGACGTTTGGCAGTATAGTTATTTTTTTTTTGTTCGATTCGTGAACGAGACTGGGTCACGGAGGGCTGAGCGAACTGAACATATCAGAATCTACGTATTTTTCATCAGAACAGAATATTTTTAATATTCATCGAACGACGCGCGCAGACTTAGAGAGAAAAAAAAAAATAAAAATAAAAAACAAACACTTCCTGTTTGCTCAGCGGTTGTTGTCTCTTGGAATATCCGCCGGCGCGCGGTGAGAAATTGTTTGTTCGGTGTACGGATGCTTGGACTAATTGTCATTGTTAGCGTTTAACCGGCCGCGTCATTCGTTTTTCGATGTTTCACGAAGAATCCAACGGTCGTTTCTCTCTTTCGACGAAACGCAGCGTAATTATGTATCGATGCTGCTCGAACCATCTGCGAAATTATATTTCCTCGTGAATGAACCATGCACTCTGCGGGTAATCGAATACGTTTGCAGGCAAATGAGCACGTTTGTAAATAGATGGAAAATTCTGTCCCGTTAATGCGATGCGGCATTAAGGAGGTTGTAATCGTTTATTGGAAGTAAATCACTTTTCTGACAGAATGGCAATGGTTTTTTTTTTTTATAAAAGTTCTATGTACTTTTTAATTGATTTTAATGCAGTATTTATATTTGGTATTGAAATTTGGGATTTTTCGATGAAACCTTTTAATAAATTGCAAACTTTCTCCTTTTGCAATACAAAAATGGTACATGTAGATCCAAGGAAGCTCTAAATCGTAAACTGTGCTAAATCAAATGTTTTCGCGTATGGAAAATTGCTCAAATTGATCGATCAAAGACGTTGCGATTCGAAGTATGCGGTCGGTTGAGTGTGAGAGTGTATCAAGGATGTAACGAAGCGA